ATCGTCGAAGAAGATCATCTAACCGATCGAAACTATTCTCCCTGCTAGCGAGGGGTAACTCTTGAGACGACAATAAGGACGAGCCATTGGAGAGGCCATAACCTCCAGAAACAACCCAACCCAGACGAGTCTTTTGAAGTAGGGGTAATCCATGTGGAAGCTTAATTTGGCCAACGCATAACATCTCGTAAAAGAGGCTGGCTCCGATTAAAAGGTCCACCCGCTGGGGAGTATAAAAACTGGGGTCCGCTAACTGAATATTTTTAGGTATTTTCCAATTGCCGATGTCGACATTGAAGCTAGGCTGCCGCTCTGTGATGTTCGGAGCAATCACCGCGGTAATGTTGGCTGAGTAATCGGAAGTTCGGGACCGAACCGTAATATTAACCGAATGACCATCCGTCACAAAACTGGAATCTCCTATTCCAGTAACAGATGCTAAAGATTTTATCTTCTTTACTTGAAGCTGGCTTGCGAATCGGGACGTTATTAGATGCAGCTGGGAGCCAGAGTCGAGTAGAACTCGACAGGGAACGAAAACTCCGGAGCGGTTTTTTACTAATACGCTTGCCGTTACTAAGAGCACAATATCATTACTAAAATCCTGTGCAATGAGAGCAGTCGAGGTGGAAGGCAGTACAGATGGTGAGGCAGACGGAATGGCTTCTTGAAGCTGTGCTCCTTCTTGTGAAGAAAAAGAAGAAAAAATTTCCCATGTGAAGCAGGGTGTGCCGCTTCGATCCGCATGCACGGCAATTACTGGAATTGCACTGCCTAACTTGATGACCAACCTTAAGACAATTTATGCAAAGACCGAGTCGTTTTGCTTCTTGAAGCCTATTCGTAGGAGACAGGGCTTTAAAATTCTAGCAATAAGAAATGGAGTGACCTGCATCATTACAGAATATACAGATCCAAGGGTTCGAATTCGAGGCAACAAATGCTGATCTACGCGTATTGGGTATTCTGTTACTTCCCACCTGAATGCCCGGCGCATAGTTTGCCATGGCAAAATCCATCGTCTCCAACGTCCTGCACCGCTGCTCCAGAAATGATGCCATTGACTCCCAAGTAGGAATTAAGTTGACGAAGGCAGGGTCCTCTAAACGCTCTTCCCACTTGGCCTGACTTGCCGGATCCAATTTTTGGAACAGGATTTGGACGATGATGCATCCTGCAATTTGTTCCGTCGTGCCCAGCCCCTTAAGAGCGCGGATATGAGCGTTGAATTTATCCGACAGCTCCCGAAGTGTCGAAACGGAACCACTCTGCACCGCCTTTATTCCCAGGATCTCAGTAATGTGTGCCTGAAAAACCAAACGACGATTATCAAATCTATTTTGCAGTAAATCCAAAGCAATTGCGTAGTTGCCGTCCGAAATTTCCAGCGAGCGAATAGTTTCCAACGCAGTATCCCTCAGGCATGATCGTAGATGCTGCAGCTTTTCTATGTTGGTGAGATCAGGGTGACTATCTATGATAGTGGTAAACATAGAATAAAAATCAGACCAATTTGCATAACCTCCAGCGAATTTTGGAAGCTCAAGTGGAGGCAGTAATGTTGCCCTATGTCGAGGCTGACGCTGCTGGAGGCCGAAAGCTCCGGGAGTGATGCCGTCAGCAAGAGTTGAGTGCGAAAGGAGCTGTGAGGCGCGCTTTGAAATTTCGGATCGAACAGATGACTTCAAAAGTACGAGAATGTCATCAAATTTTTCACTCAAATCACTTTCAATTTCCTCGAAATCCAATTCTTCGAGCTCACCAAGAACCTTTTTAAATGTTCCTTGAAGCTCATCAATCAGCTCCAACCTCACGTGGAGCCCGGATTCGTCGCATGAAGTTAACGCCGCACTTGAAAGGGAATCCACTAAACGCTCCACTCTATTAAATAAAGCAGTTGCCTTGCGCTTTAAAAATATCACCCTGTTTTCATCAGCGGTAGCATCTCCAGCAATTCCCGTAGGCATGGCTACAACAACAACAACGGCACAAGCAGACGAAATGCCCGAAATTCGGTTTCAGCGGGAAGATGAGCGCAAAGCAAACGAAGAAATAACGGCCCGTTAATTGGCTATGTACGCTCCAATATAACTAATTTTTATGCAAATTTCGGCAACACAAAAATGCTATTTATTTATAGCGCTCACTGCATTCAAGGCTTTATTTTTTCGACAAATGATTTCTGGCTCCGCCAATGCACCGCAGCCGCAACAACGAAAAGTCAATAAATAGACTTATTTATGTGATTTGCACTTAATATTGTTTTTGTACGAATCACGTCGGGGTCACCAATGTTGAACTAATAAGCTTTTTTATTAGTTAATGCAAACGAAAATAAGAAAATTGGGTTGGTTTATGCTTGTTAACAATTTATTATCGAAAGAGTACAGCAGGCGAGACGAGAATGCGTTTTATGGCGAGATCAGAATTCATACTGAATTTACGAAGGGCCAGCCAGCCGAATGCTGGGCCCAAAATGCAAGCATACAACAAATGGGAGAGATAAATAGAGAGAGATGCCTTTCGTGATGCAATTGATATAAGAGTACGGATTTACAAGTTAATTAGCTGCTGCGGCTGCGTGACCCGACAATATTCGTAATACAAAAAAAATTAAATATCTGCGTCAAACCCGAAAAAGAGTCGTTCAAATCTGAATTTTTTTTCTGACAAAAAAGCAGAGAGTAAAAATTACGAAATTTTAAAAGTGCTTTCCTCTTTTTTTTGCTACAGAAAAAATCGTACTATAAAGAAAATCCATCGACTTTACGTCTCTTTGATAATTTGTTAAAAGAATTATTTTTTAAGTGCCGAACTGAAAGAATGATGGTTAAAAAGGCATTTTAGCATATAAAAACAGGTTTTTACACTTTCGACTAGCAAAAATAACACTCAAAACCTTTTTTTTGAAAAAAGGATAGATTTCCGGATAGGGGATGTTTGAAATTTTTTCCGGATAAAGCCGTTAAAAAAAGGACAGATCTGTCCGGAAAGAGGACAAAATGGCAGCACTGAATTACATTGAGGGAAACGTGAGCGCAAACTAAACTGAAATATGTTTTGTAAAATTCCGCCGAAAAATTGCGCAAACATTAAATTGGACAACATGTGCGCGCCTTTTGCTGTAGCTTTCGCAATAAATTTCTCTGATTTACGAGAATGCGATGCCAGTGGCGTGGCAAAGGGGGGAATAAACCAGGAGGAAGCGAGGCGCCCGCTTAACTAACTAAATAAATGTAGCAACTTGCCCCATCTGGCTGCATATCAAATTATTTGTTGCACTTTAATAGTGCCAAAGTGGAGAACGAAAACTTTGCCACTCTCTCGCTAGCTTTTTTTCTTATTTTTTTCGCTTTCTAAATGAATTGCACATTTGACATTTGGCAAAGCATTTGAATAATGCAACGGCGCCGAAGGCGTTTTTTCCAATGCCAACAGGTGTCCTCGAGTGTGTTTGTGTGGCCCGGCAAAAAGCTTTTAGCATCTAAAGGTATGCAAATCAGTTGCTTCGCCACAAAGTTCCCAGCACTTTTAGTTTGGAGAAGGGAGAAAGAACCTGTCATTAACCCCCGTTCCCACGCCCCTTACTCAAATGGGGTAACTCCCCCAATTGCATTCTCGACCTTCTGCATTCTGGCCACGCCTTTTGTTGCAATCTTTGTAGCAAACTTTTCGCATTAGCTGCCGAGTTTGATACTCCAAAAACTATTATAGAAAAATATTTTTGCAACTCAAGTGCGGCCAATAGGGTGGTGAATGGGGGTTTTTGGAAGGTTGGAATTTGATCCTACAGCTGACTGGTACATTCTATTGGCTGCTGAGGGGAGCGTGCCGCTATGGAACAGTGGTGAACGGTTTAGGGGTCCTTTACTAACTTAATCTTTAAAAGGAGTATTTTAATATGCTTTGTAAAAACACGCAGAGTCTAATAAAATAAATATACAATTTTATTTCCACATTTGTTTTCTCGAAAAAGAAATTGTTTTAATAATTTACATGCATCCTAAAATAATTTATTTTACAAAAATGTGAAAGGAAAGTCTATTCCAACAATTCATAAAAATAAGTGCACTAATTTATTAATTTAACTATTAAAGTTCAAAAATATTTAAATATTCACCACTTCCTCGAGGGGAGCGTGCCTTGAAAACTTTTCCATAAAACTGCCGAATGCTTTTCCCACTTTTCACGTCATCGGGTGAGTGCTGCATATAGAGAGTGTGTGTTTGGGTTGCATTATGTGTGCAGGAGCCGTCGTTGTCGACATCGTCTAGATTGGCACTCGATATTCGCAACTGCATTCCTGCAACGTCACTGGGTTCCCCCTTAACCCCTTTGTATTTTCAGCTTAGTTAACACAAAGGCATATTTACTTTTCGCCCAACCCAAGCCCAAACTAAAATAAAGCCAAAAGTTACTTGCATAAAATTTGATAAATTCCCACTGAGTTTCCAGCATCTCCTGACTGACGGCAAATCTAATAAAAAATACCATTCAAGGCTTCACTCTGTGTGTGTTGTGCCTCCAGCTTCACTGCGGTCAAAAGTTGAAACTTTGAGTGCCATAGTCAGCTTTTCGTTGGCTTGGCCCAACTCTTTTGGCCATCGGGCTCGGAGTTCAAGTGGCCGGATGGCCTGTTGGCTCTTTCTGGTAATTTCTTACCTTTTGCATATGTTCAATGACCTCTTACCAGTTGGTTCAATTACCTTTTAGGCTTCAAAATTACCATCCAGCTGGGCAAACCTTTAGTTTCTGCTCCGCAACTTTAAGCTCAAGGCACGTTGCCTGATGCCTGGTGCCTTCCTCCTGAACTTGAACCAACTGTTGCCCTGTGTTCTGTGATATGTAACTTGTCAGAAGTTTGCTGACGTGCAGATTAAACGCCGAGTAGTCTGCCAGGAGCAGTGGAAACGCTACTCGAGCCGGGGGATCATTTATCATAAGCTGCGTACTCGAAACATTTTGTTGACACTCTTGACGGCTTGCAGTTCATGGATAACGAATTTCGAGGGTGCCACGTGAAAGGGTGGTGAAAGGGCAAGGGTTGAGCCATCGCGTGAAATATTGTTTCATTCTTTCTTGCTCTTTAATTGACATTCTGAATAACTAAAAACATGTTGAAAAGAAGAAATTATCAAGTCCGACAATTTTTGGTTAGCTTTTGCATTACTATGTCGTATAAAAAGGTTCCATATAGTTTGGCAAGTTTTATAAAATGTCTTTAATTTCCCAGTACCTTTTTGTACTTTTTAATATTTAAAATGGCATAGAACATCTTTATTTATGTTTATAAGGTTATTATGTTATTAGCGTTTAAGTATTGAAAAAGTTAAGATTACATATGTCTGAAGTACAACTTTAAAATAGGAAGGGTTCCCTTGACCGAGTGGCTTCTAGCTAAGTTTAATATCAATTAAATCAACAACAACCAGATCAAAGTCCATTGGCGGCTCACCAAACCTGCTGCGACTGCCCATTTAGATCCACCTTAGCAAACGCTGCATGAAATAATGGGGCAGGACTGGAAAGTCCCTCCCTTGCGATGTGCAAGGATACTAAGGACATGGGAGGCAGGACCCCGGCTCTTCAGCAGAGCATTACAAATCACAACAATCATGCGCGTTCAATTGCGCATATTGATTGTGAATATAATGCCCGCTGCTCGTGTTGATTGTGCTTACAGGTCACATAACAAAGGTTGTGACCCACGAGCCATGAGCCACGCCCACCGCCCACCGTCCTCTGCCCCCTCTCTTTGGGTTAACTAGCTCAAGTCCCCGGAGGAGAGGCGTACTTTTGCGACTGCCTGTGTCTCGGTTGTCATTTGTCTGCGTCGGCATCTGTGTGCCTTGTGGAAAGCTTGTGTTTTCTCCGTGGACACAAGGACAAGAGGTTCATCCGTCGCAGCTTGTTGCGCGGTTGTCCTAAGGTCGACCTCAACCACATACTTCCACACATTCCCACACAGAAGGAAAAACATTAGAAAAGTGACCTAAGTTTATAATTTACCTTTTCTAATTAATTAACATATTTTTGATATTAAGAAATATAAAAATTTATTTAAAGTTTAATCGTATTTTATTATTTTTAAACAGTTTTTCTATAGGGTATTACAAGATTGTCATCAAGATTGTCATTATATTTAAATTATGTAATCGATGTCATTTAAATTTCATAAATGAATGAAAATATTAAATCAAATGAGTCAACCTTGTGGCTTTTTTGTTTATTTTCTCAGTGCATCCGCCCAACTACTCAGCGCTGTCTGTGTAATTGTGCGCACTCGGAGCGACCTCGTTTGTCATTGTAAATTATGCGGTTAAATCGTTCGTGGGCCTAGTTTTGTCCTCCAACCATCTCTTTAAAGTTATATTTTCCGTTTCATTTTAAAGCACGCTGGCTGTCAGTCTTATCCCAAAATGAATATTCATATGGCTAGCAGAACAAAACTCGGCTACCAACTACTTCTGTACTTCAGTGCAATTCGCTCAGCACTCGGCCACAATTTACATATCTTTCCCATATGCATACAGCGATCTGGCTCACAAAAAATTATGTTATTTGCCTGCCTTTAAATTCCCAACTTCAACTAATAAAACTACAAAAAATACTGCAACTGAAAAAATATATAAAAATTCAAACAAAAATGTTAGGAGCGCCAAAAGCGGATTAGGTTTTTCATGCTAAAGGTTGCATACCCTATATATATATATTGGGATTAAGCATATTCTTAAGCTAAAAAACCTCTAACCAAAAAAATGAGAAAAAAAAGCTTATTAAAACATTTTAGATGTTGCATAAATAATTGTATTTATAATATTTCTGATAAGCTTTTTTTATAGGAAAAATGTGTTTTACCATCATTAAACTTAAAAATGAAAAATGTCGTATTTAATGATTATGGTTAATCCTACCCCTCTAACAGCTAGGGCAAAAAGAAAATAGAATAGTACCTTCAGTGCCTCTCATGGACCTTAAGTGAACTTTGACTTTTCCGACTGCAGGGCCATGAATATTTGTGTTTATGATGAGCGCAAGCTATATACCAACATTTATTTGCATATGCCAAACGGAAAAAAATTATGAAAATTTGTGGCTAAAAAAAAAAGCAAACACGGCTAAAATAGTCGACGGGGTTGTTAATTACATTATTCGTTATGATGGCCATAATTAAGAGTAAGCGTAAAAGCCTTTAACTGAGTTTTCTTTAAAGTCCTTACAAAATCCCAAGACCTCCCCTTCAGAAGACTCGACTTTAACATCATCACCATCTTCGTGTGGCAGCTTCCACTTTTTGCGTTGATGGATTAATCTCTATCACATGTAAACAATTCACGTGCCCCGAGAGTTCGCCCTTGTTGTTGCGGCTGATGTTGTTTTTCAGCACTTTGCCACTGGTTTTTCGCCGGGGTTTTGCGTTGCCGGGATGCATCATAAAGTCATTTAAGCATATAAATTGCACTTTTATGCTCCGCGCCTGTCACACAAACACAATTACTCAGTCACGTTCCACGAAAGCTCCAAGTGTGTGTCTGTGATAGCAAGGATGAGAAAAAGGGGTTAGTGAAATAGAAAACAAGACTTTTTGAAAGGAGCTCTTGAAAGCGAGCATAAAACTAGGTACTAGTGAAATCCTGTAAGAAATTTCTGGATATATGACGGTTTTTCAAAATCACTTTTAAAGGTGTCTAAAATTATTCAATACTTTTATTTAAGACGACTTACTTTAAATAATTTAAAAAGCTTATTGATTTCTAAGGCACCTTTCATTAAATAATTTCAAAAGCTTATTGATTTCTAAGGCACACTTCATGTTTGGAACAACATTAGTTGTTTATTTTAATTTTTTTTTTTTTAATTTTTATTGTTTATATTATTATTTATATTATTATTTATATTATATCCGAGCGCTGCAAGCGTAAGCTTATTATTATTGCGCTAGTCACTTTATTTATTCATTAGTTAATTCCGGAACTTTCTCAGTACAACGTTAAACAATTTGCTAAGTAAAACCCCTAATGGCCATACCAGGCGTATTTGCAGTGAGTCAATCCTATCTCAATCGCCGATGGCCTTAATTACACTTCTTCAGTGCTATTGTGAGTGCAACTTTTGGGCATATTTCAGGCCTATACGCCTGCCGGGCTGTCCAAACAGCAACGGGCTAATTAACACAGGGCGGCAACACAAAGGGGGCGTGGCTGTGACTGTGGAAGTGGCAGTGAAAGCGGGAATTCCCCGGTGCCACAACAGGCCAGAGTTATGCATTAATAATGCAATCGCAAAGCAGCCCAAAAGCCAAAAACGGGAGCAAGCTCATTTGGAGGCGCACTCACACACAGACACAGAATGAAGCACACGCAGCAGGGCCACAGGCTTTTGTCAGCCACTGTTTCGGCATGTTGCATACTTTTCTGGGCAACGTGCAACAATAGCTGCCGTCTGGCAACAACAAATTATAATGCAATTGCAAATGCTCGTCGTTTGTTCATTTCTGTGTCCGTATGTGGGTAAATTTATGCATTCTCTCTGCATTTCCTGCATTGACATTTACTTGGGGTTATTACCAATGCCGGGGGGCCGTCGTTTCGCATAAATGCAAACTGCACACAGCAATTGTCCTGCAACAACAGCCAAAAGCCCCTCACCTTTCCACCCCCTGTCTCCACTATGATTGTGGTTTTTGGCATTTTTCCGCCAATTGTTTTCGGCCCGGACATTCAACACTTTTGTTCGGTTGCTGCGGTCAGCCGCATTTCCTGCAGAGTATTTTCCTTATCGATTTCAGCCAACGAATTCTTCGTCACTGTCCTGGCTTTTAACTTCACTTTAAGCCAAGAAGTTGTCTGGCATTTCGATATTTATTTTGTTTATAAGTGCTCAATATCCAGACAATTCGGAGAGGAAAGCGTTTTCCCAAGGGAAATTGAGCAGGCAGACATTAAGTGTGTGGCTCATCGACAAATGTACAAGCTTTTAAAGGATTATAAATATTAAATACTCTACTTTCAAGAAACTGTTAAAAATTAATTTAGTAAACGAAACAAGAATTTCATTTGAATATTTATACCCGTTACTCGTAGAGTAAAAGGGTATATTGTATTCGTGCAAAAGTATGTAACAGGTAGAAGGAAGCGTTTCCGACCCCATAAAGTATATATATTCTTGATCAGGATCACTAGCCGAGTCGATCTAGCCATGTCCGTCTGTCCGTCTGTCCGTCTGTCTGTCTGTCCGTCTGTCCGTATGAACGCTGAGATCTCGGAAACTATAGAAGCTAGAAGATTGGCATTTTCCATGCAGATTCTAGGAATTCCTACGCAGCGCAAGTTTGTTTCAAAATGGTGCCACGCCCCCTCTAACGCCCACCATCGCTTATATACGATTTTAAAAATTTTAATATTTTGGAAAAGTAAAAATGCAGTTTTATTGTGTTTATCAATACCTATCGAAATGTAGAAGAAATTTTTCAAATCGGACCATTCGTTAAAAAGTTATGCGTGATCAACGTTTTCTATCTCTATCTCCATCTCCCTCGCACTCCCTTTACCTGAGTAACGGGTATCTGATAGTCGGGGCATCCGACTATAACGTTCCCTCTTGTTTTAAAATGTAATTGCAAATTTTATTAAAAGACTTTCTTTTATGTATTTCATCGCTTTTACATCCAAGTAAGCTTGTTATATAAAGAGTATGCCAGGGCGGCAATACCAAAGATTTCCCAGGGGCATTAAGTATTTGTTTAGATGGCTTTTGCCATCATGAATGCAACCGCATTCTGTGCATTTAATTTACACATTTTTTCCCACACCAAAAATTAAATTAAAGCAACTTGTTGCAATTACAATACTGTTGATAGGAAAACTTTTAATCGGCTTAATGCATAGCGAAACTATATAACTAATTTCTCGGTAGGCAAACCGATAGCAGCGACACAACATCCACGAGCAACCGAAACTTTGTGGTTCGAACTCGATGGCACTCACACACGCTCATTCCAAAGAAACGTACACATACGTACGTACTGTAGTGACAGCCAGAATCAAAATAATAGGAATTTTCACGGAGTTAAGTAAAAGGTTAAAAAAAAATAATTTTAGCTGGATGCTTTCATTTAATATCACACTGCACATGCACACAAAACAAGAACACGCCGGGATCAAATCGATGCGAATGGTAAATTGCTGATATTTATGCGAATATCAGTTTTACCAGGCAATACTGGTAAATTGTATGGTAAATAATATAATTTCGCCGAAATTGTAAATAATTGATATAAAATAATGTCAAATTGATCATCGTTTCATATTAAGTTTTTTTTGGGTGTGAGTAACATTAATTTTCTTATAAAAATAAAACTTTTTTACATTAACTACACACCATATCATGTTTTTAGCATGCTCCCAACTGTGGAAAGATTGCCATCAGTGTGGCACTCAGCTGAATATGCATAAAACTGTAATGGTACATAATTTCAATGCCTGCACAAACTTTAATTAAAACGACTTTGCCGAGCGGTAAACATCAGCGTCCCAGGCGACAGCCGCACACAAAAACATATACATCCAGCACCCAGATACATGCAACCCAACAGATACACAGATACAGGCCATGTAGCTCCTAATGAAGTGCATGAATACCTCAACGAGATGGAGCCACCCGAAATCTATTCGACAGTGTGTGGGCCCGGAGTCTGAGTCCCTTGGCTGTGTGCGTGATCATAATGATTTTGATGGGCACGTAAAATTCAAACTAAAATCACTAGAGCGTTGGCAAACAACGACGCATCTGCCAAAGGCAAGGAAAAATACGGGAAAAACAACACCGGGCCAGGCAGGAAACTAATATACAACATTCGCACGTGACTTTGATATTGAAAATGCTTAACACGGCTGGAAAACATCCGAATATGTGTTTGACTACACAAAGTGGCAGGTCAACAACAACTGTGGCCCATATCGGATGCTAACCGGATTTACGTACAAACTTTTTTCCATTTTTAATAATATTTATGCCCATTGTTTGGCCGGAATGCTTCTGCATTTTATCTCCTTTAGTGAAAGTCAATTTATTGCCCTTACTTGTTGATACTTACAATTTCAAAAGTTGTCTGCCATGACTTCACACAATACCCACATTAAAGTGTAAATAGTTTTGCCATTGATCAGAGGACCGAAGGGAATACATAGTTGCTGTGGACGTGTTTCGAATTTCTGGCAGGATGTGCTGACCTCAGTTATTGGGGGAAGTCTTGACCTCAAGCCGAATTGAAAATCTATTGAGTTTCGTGGTTTGGTTGGCCCAGTGATTAAACGGTAGCAATAAAACCCGCTGGCAAGGCTTTAACTTATAATAGCTGTGCAGCTGTGCGATAATCTGACGCAATAATTAGGTAATTAATCATATCAGAAGCAGATACCCCCGCCAATTGGCCATTAAGTCGGCCCACTCTCACGCGCAAATCTTGAACCAAGAGCGTGGGCACAAGCTGCTAATTAAATATAAACAAAACACTTTAAAAATCAAAATGGGGCGGCAAAATGGAGGCTGCCAACTTCATGGAGTTTTATGAAAATTGAAAAGAAAAAATTTAATTATAAGCACGAGGAGGCAGACAGAAAATAAAGCGTTTACCTGTTGAAGACAATGACGGGGAAAAGCCCCCAAGCAAATATAAGAGAGGCTAATGGAATTCATTGTTCGGCTTGCTGGGCAAAAATTTTATGATAATGCAATAATAAACCATTAAAGTATACCATGAAATGATGTTCCAACAATAGATTTTGCCCCTTTGGTGAGTGTTAAAAAACTTAATTAAAACTCCTTTGGGGGAATAATAATTTCTCAATGGTTACGGGCAAACCAAAATTATTTTATTTTTTTGCGTGCAAATTATAATATTTGTAATGCAGACTTCCGTTGTCTAAAAACCTATTTACAATACTAAAAGTATTTTAAAATATTTGTTTTTAATGTAAATTGAATAAAATTTAAGAAATAGATTTTTCTACATCGTGCTTCCATAGAAAAATAATAAGAAATGTAATCGGAGAATTTAAGTCCTAGAACGCCTAAAAACTAAATAAACGCCATGAAATGGTTCGCCTGACATACCAATTAGGCTAACACCCTTGATTATGAATAAATTGCAGCTGTGAAGAGGGGTGTTGGGATGAGAGCAGGGCGATAAAGCCAGACGTAGTGGGGACTATTGAGAACAAAAGAGGGCAGGAGGGCCAAACAATTTAAAGCTCATCAATTCAGGACAAAGCAGCGCGTTGAAAACAATTGAGCAGTTAATGTTTGTTTACCCCACGTCCGCAAGAATAAAATGTGAGAAAAATACAAAAAAACAAGAAAGGAAGCTAGCTTCGGCCAGCCGAAGCTTATATACCCTTGCAGATCATTCCTATTAATTAACAAATCGCAACAATGTTCAATTTTCTAATATTTCTCATTAATTTTCCGATCGTTCCTATGGCAGCTATATGATATAGTCGTCCGATTTTGATCAAATTAAAATTGAAATTCGGAAATATTTAAAAAGAGTCATATCCTAGAGTAGAAGATAATGCAATAAAAACCAAAGAAGCTAGAATTTATTTCCTATTACTTTTCCATTAATTTTCCGATCGTTCCTATGGCAGCTATATGATATAGTAGTCCGATTTTTTAAATAATTAATTCGAAATTCAGCAATATTTAAAAAATAACATCCCCAAAAGTAGAAGGTAATATTTCAAAAAACACCGAAGCTAGAATTTTTTAAAGTTTTTTTTTTCCGATCCTTCCTATGGGAGCTATAAGATATAGTTGTCCGATCCGGTCAGCTCCGACATATATACTACCTGCAATAGAAAGAAGACTTTTGCGAAAGTTTCGTCCCGATAGCTCAAAAACTGAGAGACTAGTTTGCGTAGAAACAGACAGACGGACAGACGGACGGACAGACGGACAGACGGACATGGCTAGATCGACTCGTCTTGTGATGCTGATCAAGAATATATATACTTTATGGGGTCGGAAACGTCTCCTTTACTGCGTTGCAAACTTCTGACTGAAATCATAATACCCTCTGCAAGGGTATAAAAAAAATTATACGAGAGGGAGGACTCCAGTGAATTTAAAGAAAAAATCCATTTGCGACTTTGCTTTTCTCTTTTCCTTCTTTTTTTCTGAGGCCATTTTTGCGGCACAAACTTTTCATAATTGAAATAAATAAAATACAACGAAGACAAAATTGGAGAATATATATATATTTTTTGGGTTCGCTGGGGAAATCCCCCGATGAGCGGCCATCTATGTTTGTGTATCAATGGAAACTCATTTATTCGAAGGATATTTTATAAATAATGGGGGTTCGTTTTATGCCCGCCGGACTCGTTTGCACAGAAATTTAATCAAGCTTCGGCCAGGCGGGCGGCGCAAATAATTTTCGCAAATTCATTTACGCATTTCATTTTCCGCACCGCCCTAGTTCGATATCCACCTCCCCTTTTTTGGCCGCTGGCATGCAAAGCGTTTTTTAATCCCCGGCAACTTCTGGATGCCCGAACAAACGCATTGGCCAATTTGTGGCGAGCTGGAAAAAACCAGGCGGAGAAGAAAATCCGAGGGCGATGGGGTCCGAGGAAAATGAATAAGTGAAACTGAAGGTTGAAGGCTATGCCACAGCCCTGTGGCAATTGCAGGAGTTGCAGGACGAACATTGACAAATGGGGCGAGGCCACTGACCGGCTTACTCGGTCATCTATAAGTTTCAACTGACGAGCGGAAAGTTGCTCAATTGGGGGCGTCCTTGCCGAAAGGCACACGATACTCTGTTGACAATTATCATAATGAGTGCGGCAGCTGAGTGTGTCAGTGGTGGGAGAAAGTTAAATATTTAAAGCCATTTATCAGAAAAACAATATATATATATATCTTAATAATCTTCTAAAAAGAAAAATAGGTTTCAAACGAACGACCTGAGAGTGCTGAACCTACTTTAAATAAATTTTTTTTCCCAAAAATAATTGATAAAAAAGTTATAAATAACAAAGTCAGAATTCCTGACGGAACTAAAAGTTGAATTAATTCAACGTATTTTGTTTTTCTATAGTTTTATTCACATAAATATAACAAATCTAATAGTTTTTAAAAACTTACAAATGTATGTTATAACTTTGATAGTCATTTTTTTAAACCTCGTTCAATTCAAGCAAGTGCAGCACTTCTTCTCTTCCTTGGTTGGTTGTTCGCTTTGGCTGGCCTTGTGGATTCTTGAATGGTTTTTTGAATTTTCGACTTTGCAAATGTCAAAGTCGAGTTGCTTAGGCAATCTTGCTGCTTTTACCTTAGTTATCAAGCACTGGAATGCGAAGCAGAATGCCATCAAAATGACTATAATGCAGCCCAAGCAGACAAGAAGTATGGGTATTTTCCAAAATACTTCTTCTTGATTGGCATTCTTAGGCTTTATATTTTTCTTTATCAAGCTATAGCACTCTTGTGTGCTCATTAGGCCATCTTTATATTCCCGCTGAATTTTAGGAGCTTGATGATTTGCGAAAAACTTTGAACGACTTTCAGCACAAATATTATCAAGCCAATCCATTCTATTGGAATATTTTTGAAAGGTGAAAATTTATTTGACACTTTTATTTCTGATATTTTTAACAATGCTTATCGGATTTCCCTGATTTTTTGAATTTGTATTTTAAAAATACTATTTTTGTTAGATATAAAAAACGCTTCTAAAAGTGCTTTTTAATGCAAACTAGTTGTATGTTTTTTTTTTAATCTACTTACTGTCCTCTGTGTCCTTTTGTTTTGGCTTAAAGCGATATAATGAGGATATTTTATTCTTATAGCCATTAAACCTTTTTTTGTTTCTCATTTAGTTTATGTGTTTTAAAATTGTAATTAATGTCCAATTGTATATTTATAATCAATAAAAAATTATTCATGATAATGTAAATTACAACGACCAACTTTCAAATTTATTGTAAGTTTGTGGTTCGAAGAACAAGGAATTTTTAGTTTTCAGTCAGCACTGCACTGTGACCTATAAATAAATTTGGCAAAAAACCTCTTGTTGCGGCTAGAAACCAGTGACGATCGCACCTTCAACATACAAAAGTTCTGATATCATATTTTGTGTCGAAAAATGATTATACATTTGAAGCGCTTCTTGAGTAAATATGTTTACTTGAGTAATAAAGAAGTGGATACTACTATTTATAGTAGTTAGCTCTCGCACATTCCCTGTGCGATTCGTCCACAGTGATATAATAATCATTTTTAAGGAATAGCTTTGGACCCTTAAGGAACCTTTTAAAAATACAAATTTCTACAGTCGGATAAGCTCCCATAAATATTGAGTTTAAGTTTTTATACCCTTGTAGAGGGTATTATAATTTCAGTCAGATGTTTGCAACGCAGTGAAGGAGACGTTTCCGACCACATAAAGTTTATATATTCTTGATCAGGACCCATAGCCGAGTCTATCTAGCCATGTCCGTCTGTCCGTCTGTCTGTCTGTCCGTCTGTCCGTCTGTCTGTTTCTATGCGAACTAGTCTCTCAGTTTTAATGCTATCGCGATGAAACTTTCCCGAAAGTCTTCTTTCTATTGCAGGTAGTATATATGTCGGAGCCGACCGGATCGGACCACTATATCTTAAGGCTTCCATAGGAATATTCAAACAAATATAAGAAAATTCTTATGTATAAACAAAATTAAAATAGAAACGCTGAATCTGGAATCCCTGGAACTGCACCGAGTGAGCATTACTTTATCTGCAACGGTATATAAGCTTCGGCTGGCCGAAGTTACCTTCCTTCCTTGTTTAGCTTGTATTAGGCCAAAAGCAAAAGGCAAATGTTTGCGATAAACTACCTGGGCAACTTAAAGCGAAAGTCGAGGGCATTCCCATGACTATTTGCGACTGCTTGTTGGGTCTTTTGCCAACACAAACTAAGTATGTTGATCCAATCAGAGGGAACAGCCGCAACCAATCGTCGCAGAAGGAGCAGGAGGCGCAAACCCAAGATTCGGTGAATATATTTTCCCTGGGATTTGCGGCGTAATTCGGATTCGTCGTCGTCTGTCACTGTCGTCAGTCGTGGGTCGGTGGTTCACGTTCCGCCCTCTAACCCTTGGTTATTATCATGTGGCTGGGACTGCATCTCACGACTTGGTCTTACTTTTACTTATTTTCATATTATTCGAGAGGCAGCGCGCTGTTCTACTTTCAATAACTGTGAATGTGAATAAAACCGAATGAATGAACTGGCTAACCTTGCCGCTGGCTCGACACTCCGTGGCTCAGTGGGTGGTGGGGGAAAACGGGAGGAAACGGGGCGCTCGACTTTTGCTACTCTGCTTTGTGTTCGGCTTATTAAAATATACATTTTCCTTTTTTCATTTGGCTTCCCTTCTATACGGAGCATTCTATTTGGCCGTGTCTGTGCGTTTGGCATGTTTTACTCTTTAGCTTGGTAAATTTTGCAGAAAAAATATTCATGATTCCTTTTTTCACGTTGCCGCAGGTCAAAATGTCAGCAAAAACTGGACAATACAGTAGACGTACAGTAATTGCTGGCAACTTTAATTTTATTTTAATAAATTTTAAACTAAATTGAAAATGATGCCACTTTTTTGTTGCTATTGTCAAAGAATGTAATTCTTTCAATACAGTTTCACAATAATAAGTCAATAATAACTCAAATTCTTTAAGATTTGAAATATATTTTGTTTTAATCGTTTTTTGTAAATATTTTAATATTGATAAAAAAAACTTTTATTTAATTTTTGAAATTTTTCTTAAAATGTTTAATTATAAATTTACGTTTTGCTTTATATATTTATCATTTTTTGTATTTTAATTTTAATAAAATACCCCTTTCATTGATTTTTTAAATTCTATCATTTTAAATTTACAGTTTGCTTTAAGCATCGCAAATGTTTTCTTTTTAATTTTCAAACAAATTGTTCAAGGCCTTCAAGATAAACTAGTAGAACCTTTAAACCTTCTGTTTCAATTTTCAAATGACCACTGTCTATCTATGTTGTTTGATTTAATTTTTTATATTCATTTTAAGGCTTGCGGGTTTGGCATATTTCATGCGCATTTGCATGTTCTTTTTACCGAGCCTGCTTCGCCCTCGAAGATTTATTTGTCAGATACGCTCTTTTATTTGATTTATGATGGTGCCCCTGCAACCTCCATCTGCTAGGTTTTCTGGTCGCCGATAAGCTGGAGGGTTGTAGCTGCCCAGGAGAATTGTGTCAAACCTCTGAGCCTCAGATTCTCCCCTCGGTCAGCAGTCTCTCCCGCATCCTGCAATGACTGCTGTTCGTTGTCGTCCTTAGTCCTCAGTCTGTCAGGACTTCGACCTGTTTACGTGTCCCTTCGAGATGCCCGACAAAAGGCCATTGGATCCGCTCCAGCCGGTTCTCTATATAGACCACTGCCGTTATCGCCAGACCTACCGGAAACGGGCTCTGCACCTCCATTCTTCGCTGGCGGAGGCTTTGAGGGCCATCCAGCCAAGGGTTAAGCTCCAGCTAAGGATCAACGACAGAGGTCCCCCGCAAGATGGATCCTTTGAGGTGGCAATTGCTCCGCACCCAACCGACGATACTAAGGCCCGCCAGGGTGTGTGGACTGGATTGAGGAGAATGCCCAGTGCATCGAAGGTTCCCCATGTGGACGATATAATTACCCCGGTTTGTTTCGCCCTTAAACTCAGGGATCCCCACAGGGAATCGCATCGACGGATGCTGACCAATTTGCGACACAACGAGGGCAGTCGAGCGAGGAGGAGAGAATTCATGTAAATCTTAGAAAATAATTAGTTCATGTTATTTTTTATAAATATAGAGTGTTTAAAGGAATATATCTATAGATCTATAGATCAAGTATTAGATACATTAGTGAAAAGAGATTAATTTAATATTTTATTATTTCCTTGTATTAATAATATTGTCCTTAATTAAAATTTTCCGAGCTCCCTTAGCCCAGACAAATAAAATTTAATGAGATGAATATATCTGACCTTGCACTTAGAAAGTAAATTAAAAATGGCCGTCAAAAGGATGAGCTTCTTTATCCCGCTAATGCTAAAGTTCATCTGTAAATGTAGCCAACCGAATTTCGTTTCGGGACAGACACAGATAACACTAAAGCCCGAAACTAATGAAAAGACAAACTGTGCGCCGGAGGAAAGTGGCACTTGGCGCAGCTAAAGTGTGATGTGTAACTGCATACTGCATACAGGCGGCAGTTATGGCAGCGCCAAAAGATGCAAATGAAAATTCCAAAACTCCTCCATCCGCCATCCTCCGCCTCATTTCCTGCTCATTTTCGCCGGGGGAGCAACTAGTTAAGATTTTCGCCTCGTTGCAGGAATCTTTGAAGGAGCGACAGAAGCTCAAGTTGAGTGCTGCATTTCGGCTTCATTGCATCTCGGTGAGCAAACAGTGAGTGAAAGAAGTCTGCTGCTGCGAAGGGAAAGGACATTGAGGGTAGAAAAGGGCACCAAGGAGCGGTGCATTGGCAAAGGCAAAGAGCACAATAAATCCCCCTCCTTAAAGTAGTTGTGTAATGTTTTCGTTGCCAAAGTATTTCGTTGCCTGTCGGCCCGCCTTTTTGCAAAGCGTCTGCTTTCGTGACTTAAGTTTTCAACACACGCATTGTGCACGCACACACCGGAGCAAACTCACGCACACTCATAAAACTAAGGAGCACATACAGGAAACGAAAGATTCGCAGCAACAGTGACCGCAACTAAGCAATTGTCCTAGATAATAGTTTAGGTTGGACAATATTATTCTTCAAATTATTTGCCAATTTTTAGTTAATTTTGATTTTTTAGTTAAAATTTAATTTACAGACTATTTAAAAAAAATTATAATGCCATTTCCTCACTGATGTACATACTGTAGTATTTTTTCGGTATTCAAAAAAATGCTATTTCCTGTCCGCACGGGAAAGCATTTAGCATTCAGCATTTATTATTTCGAAAACAGATGTGCTTTGCTTTTAAATTCAAAATATTCAATGCTAACAAAAATTATCTTATTTTTGTCATGTGTTTTCTGCTGAAAATTCAGAAACAGCTAGAGAAACAGCGCAGGCACGGAAACACAAAGGAAAGCGTTGAAAGTTTTTCATGAGGAAGACATTTTTCAAAACCTGAGATATGGGCATAATTTCTCAAATGCTAATACGCAGGAGATTTAAACCATCAAATGTATTGACCATGGACAATAAAAATTTAAATGTTTTATTAAGCTTTTGTTTGCATTATATATTGCTATGAAATGCACATTAGATCTTGTTTTGGGATCATTTTATTGTTGATTTTGCAATCCTTCGGTGGTCTTATGGATATGGTGGTTTGTTGCCTCTTACTTGCTGTGACAAACCTGAGCGGCAAAAGATTGGTCAGGTTTTGTTAACTGCAGTTATTCGTAATTTTTTTTCTGCAGAGAAATTATCTATAGTAGGCCTTGATAATTTCGAAAATTTTGCGATGGCCATTTTGTCGATAGTCAAAAAATACTCAGATATTTGGTATTTAAGGCACGAGAATATCAAAATGTAGTAGCATTTATTGTCGAATGCTCTTTTCTCCCACCTCTAGAACCACTTGAAAATATATGGGAAATATGTAACATATACCAAAAAATGTCAAAATGCTACATTCAGCTCTGGTGAGGAAAGGGCATAAAACTAATATGTAATATGTAAGAAAAGGTTTTCTAAGTTGTATTTCATTTTATATTCCTCAATAAGCCTGGTTACCAATGTTAAATTAAATTATTTTTAAAAATTAAATGAAATTTTATTTTTTTCGCACCTTGTTCAAATTCCAATGAATTCTTTATGTGAAATTACTCAACCAAATTGAGATAATTAGCCATTAATGTTCTGCCTGGCGTGAAAAAAGGCAATTGCAAATTTCGCAGAATTGATCAGGTTTCTGAAAATTGTTATTTTGCAGCATCCACTGTGCGGGGTCTCGTGTGTGAGTCCTGGAGTCGTGACAGGACGTGCTGGCCTGGTCCTGAAAGGCAGCATAAGTAGTGGAAAACGGCAGCATATTAATCTTGCAAACAACAACAGCTAAAACAATAGCAACGGCAAAGGCCGCGAAGACATTGCAGCAGTACTATACTTGCACTCCTTTCTTCTCCTTCCGCCAGCCAACGGAACATGAAACTAAATCGTTTGTGTGGCCTTTTTTTTTTTTACTGTTTTTTTTTACAAAGTAAATGAACTTCATTATAAGTAAAACGTCTCTGGAGTTGCTTTTCTTTGTCGGCGGCTGCCTTTCTTTTATTTTTGCATTTTTGGCTTTCGGTTTCAGTGTCAGTGTTTTTAGCTCAAAAATGGGGTATTTTGTTGGTGTCTGGCTGCTGAAGCTGTTGCCAAAAAAATAAACAAAAAAATTACTCCAGACCTCTAAGGAGACTGCAGATTTTTGACAGCAAAATAATCACGTTTTGCTTCAAGCAGACTTGAAATGTGAACTTAAGTTATTATGATACTGTGTACGTTACTTTAGATTATTTTAATACCTTTAGTCGCTCTATAAGGGAATTCGTGTTATGCTTTTCATTAAATAGGTATTTAATTTAATTAATAATCTGATATGTAGATTTAAAAGCTTTAGACACTTTTTTAAACCTTTCTAACAAATCAGATTTCACCCCTTGCATCTGCATTTTTTACTTTTCTTGGATATTCTTTTCTCAGCAATTTTAATAAAATTTGTGTCATTTACATTTTTGCTGCTACTGCAAATGCTTGAAGAAAAGTGTAAAAAATTAAAAAAAAATTATGAAAAGAAAGAATGAAGAGGCGAGTTTTATGCTGCTTACGCACATTTTGCTATTCAGAGCTGAAGCCCCTTACTTCTTCGACAGCAGCTTCTCCTTGTTCTATGGAAAAACTGCAAAGTGCATGTAAAATGATTTTAATAATATTTCAAATTGACATTGTCGATGGCCCTGATGACATTCAATTAGTGAGCAACACTCTTTCAAGCTGCAACAAATGATAAGTGATTGGTTTCTGGTTTAGACGTTTCTGCTTTTCGATTTTGTTACACTGCATGCGCTTTATATGCTGACCCCATTTATCAATTTCGAGAATCCTTGATGGGTAGTCATCATTTTTCTTGTTTGTTATGCAGCAAAAAATACTTGGAATACAACTCCAAGCATTTCATTAAGCGAGGGGATATTTTGGATTTGAAACACTCACTTAATTAAAATTGTACTTCTATTTTCATATTCATCTCAATCAATAGCCAATCCGTTCATAAAAGTTAATTAAATTCCCCATTCAAATTCATTGATGTATGGCTGAAAATAATACAGAGAGCGTTGAACGAATTTTAAATAACTGAAACCGTTCATTTATTGTCGGCTCTAATTTATATTTGCCAAACATTTTTTAAATGCCTGCCCGAAGAGGGAAAGTTTCGAATGGGCTAATTGGCATTGTGTCAGTTTTTGTTGGTCATGCGATGTTTGCATTGTGCGCATTATTTGGGCGATATTGATACTATTTCAATAATAACCATCAGAATCGATAACTGGCCACTTGTTTAATTAAAAGAGTTAGCATCGATACATGCCACACTTTAACCGCATTTATAATACTGCTTTAATCAGCATTATTTTAAATCTTTGGTGGGATAGCACTCACTATTTGTACGATCAAGTTTGGCAAAAAAAAAACAAAATAGAATAGAACGACTGCCGCAGAGTCAATTTCGAATTCAATTAAAAGGCAGCCTCTGCTGCAGAATATGGCCCGAATGCAAATACCATTTTTGACATTTTTTCGAACCAAATGTGGGTGGCTGGGTGAGGCCAAGGTGAGCGGATCGAAAAGGTCACTCGAACACTGCTGGCCGACTGACAAGTCCCGCTATCTCTGGCAGTCAACCGTGAGACCTTTTCTGATGGCCAAGACACATACGAATGCATCGGAATCGGATCTGCAGAAGGGCGTCCTTAAATTGGAATCGCCTCAAGTTACCTTGGGAAATATTGCAATATGTACAGTAGTCGAAAAAAAAGTATTCCTTCTACTTTAATCACTTTAATTAAGTTTAATAAAACAGTGAAACAGTAAAATGTTTAGTGCTCATCCAAAGCAGTAAGAGCCAAATTTAATATATAAATTAATTTTATTTATATAAATTGAATTCTCCGTTTAGAAGTATTTAATTATTAATATGTTTGCGTAAGATTTAGGTCATCTAACTAATAAGTGATTATTCAAAAATTGAAAAACATTTAAAAATGTATCGAAAAACAACTTATTTATAATAACTTGTTATGCAATAGTGACCCAAAATAAACATATTAATTGGTAATCCATAAAAGTTGCATAATTATAAGTCTACTTATTAGCATATATTATTATTCAGCTTCAACAAATATGCTAATAACAGCGATTTTCCCAGCTAAATTGCTTTTAAAAACTAGCCATACATTCCAAGCAATCCCAACGCCAATCCTTAATCGCTGGGAGGAATGTCAGGCTATCCGATTCGCAAAAGGACCTACCACACATACTCTCGCACTCACACAAATATGACAACAACAACTGGCCCTGTCCAAGTGTCATTCGGTGATGATCTATGGATGGGAACATAAATTTTGAGTGCTCAACTCGGGGGCGTGACAGCATGGGCAAGCCAAAGGGACATCGATGCTGCGACGAGAATCGAATTGAAATTTCAAATTTTAAAAGTGATTACAACTATACTCGGCTTTTGGGATCGGGCTCGGGTTTGTTTGCGAATTTCAGGCGCTAAAAACTGATTGCCGGAAATGCCCGTAATTGGTTGCACATGCAACCAGGGGGGTGGTGTTTTTTGTTTGGAGGGAAG